GCGCTGTTTCTTTCGTGACAGCACCACTCTCACTCCTCTCCCTGCACCTGTCCCAGTCAGACTGGCTGACCCCTCTGGGGGCCCGGTCGTTGCCTGTTCCTCCACTGTCCTCCCGTGTCCGGCGGTTCCGTCCGGCTCACTGTCAGGTCTTCACCTCCCCTCGTTCTCTACGAACTTGGTGAGTACCGCTGCCCTTCAGGATGCGATGGTCACTACCACCACCCCTGGGGGTCAGCGTGTGTCGGTCTGCACGTGCACATGGACGGGGCGTCACCTGACTACATTCACTCATTGGCCAGGGTCGAGTCTGTACACACTGGCTACCGAGCCTCCTCAGGTCGCTGCGTCTGCTCAGGTGTCCGCGTCAGGTCAGGTAGCCGCCTCTTGCTCGTGTCGCCTCCTGTCGCACCAGACTCTTCTTTGGCACCACCGCCTGGGTCACCCCTCCCTGCCACGCCTTCGTGGCATGCACTCCCGTCTCCTTGTCTCTGGTCTCCCCAGGTCTCTGCCTCCCCTGCCGCCCTCGCCTGCCCCGCCCTGTCTTCCTTGCGTCGAGGGGCGGGAGCGCGCCGCTCCTCACTCCTCCTCGTTTCCCCCGACGACTGCTCCCCTGCAGACCCTCCACATGGACGTGTGGGGCCCAGCCCGCGTCTGTGGACAGGGCCGCGAGCGCTACTTTCTGCTGGTAGTTGACGACTACACGCGGTACACCACAGTCTTCCCCTTGCGCAGCAAGGGTGAAGTCTCTGCTGTCTTGATCCCTTGGATCCGCATGTCAAACTTATATGCTATAGTCTGTTTAGGCTATAGTGGGGTAGTTCTTACAGGGTACAACACTTCTAGGTTTCCTATATGTACCCACCTGCTTTCTAGTTTAGTCATTCATTCGTTCTCATTCTAACATGGTATTCTGAGCAGGTTCCCTAGTGGGAACGTCTTTCTTTGGGCCCACCACGAATTTTTTTTTCCTACCCGAAGCGCGCCTCTCGCCTGTTTCACCTGCGCCGTTATGCGCTCTGCCGTTGTGCCGCCCGTAGTGGCCCTGCCTTAGCGGCCCGTCGTGGCCCTGCCTTAGAGGCCCGTCCCGGCCCCTCCCTAGAGGCCCGCCCCGGCCCCGCCCTAGAGGCCCGTCGCGGCCCGTTCCTAGAGGCCCGTCGCGGCCCCGCCCTAGAGGCCTGCAGCCGCCCGTAGCCGGCCCGCTGCCGCCCGTAGCCGGCCCGCTGCCGCCCGTAGCCGGCCCGCTGCCGCCCGTAGCCGCGCGTCGCCGGCCCGCTGCCGCCCGTAGCCGGCCCGCTGCCGCCCGTAGCCGCCCGTCGCCGGCCCGCTGCCGGCCGTCGCCGGCCCGCTGCCGCCAGTCGCCGGCCCGCAACCGCCCGTAGCCGGCCCGCAGCCGCCCGTCGCCGGGCCGCTGCTGCCCGTAGCCGGCCCACTGCCGCCCGTCACCGGCCCGCAGCCGCCCATCGCCGGCCCGCTGCTGCCCGTCGCCGGCCCGTCGCCGGCGCGCTGCCGCCCGTCCCCGGCTGTCGCTGGCCCGCTGCCGCCCGTCGCCAGCCCGTTGCCGCCCGTTGCTGGCCCGTCACTGGCCTGTCGCGGCCCTGCCTGCACCGCCAGTAGCGGCCCTGCCCCCCCGTTGCCGCCCCAGTTGCGGGCCTGTCTGCACTCTCCCCTGGTAAGCACCCGCGCCGCCAGGAGCCGAGCTGCGCCGCCCAGCCGAGCTGCGCAGCCGAGCCGCGCCGCCCAGCCGAGCCGCGCCGCCCCACCGTGTCGCCCTACCCTACCGAGCCGCACTGCTGTGCACTGCCCTACTGTCTCTGCTCCTACTTCTGCTACTGCTGCTTTTTGCTGCTACTGCTGCTACTCTTGCTACTGCTTCTACTGCTGCTATGGCTAGTCCTACCGTTCTTACCTTTGACGCTGAGGGACGTGCAGTTGACTTTGACGTGTAGGTTGACGATCTCCAACTCTTTCTTCAGTGTGATTCTAGGGATGGGGTGTCCCTTTTTTATCACACGTCCGGTGTTTCTACTGCTCCTACTGCCACTGCTGACAGTACGGTTCGCTCGCAGTGGACCACTCGTGACGCTGTTGCTCGTCTTGCTGTTCGTAGTCACCTGCCGCCTGCTGAGCGCGCGCATTTTGGCCAGTACAAGACTGCTCAGTCTTTGTACGACGCTGTAGTTGCGCGCTACTCCTCCCCTGCCACTGCTGCCCTCAGCCGCCTCATGCTGCCGTACCTTTTCCCTGACCTTGCTGCCTTTGCCACAGTCGCTGACCTAGTTGCTCACCTTCGCACTAGTGACGCCCGCTACCGCGCTGCCCTTCCCACTGAGTTCTGTGCCAAGAACCCCCCCCCCATGTACATCACCCTTTACTACCTAGTCACCCGCCTCCCTGACTCACTTTCTTCAGTCAGGGACCACTTTCTCTCCCTTTGCCCCACCGAGCTGACTGTCGACCTGCTAGAGGAGCGCCTTACTGCAGCTGAGAAGAGTATCTTAGCTGTAGGTGCTTCTCGCGGCGACCGTCGCACCCCTTTCTTTGAGGGGTGCTCCCCTGTCCCCCTTCTCCCCTCTGTTGCTTCTACTGCTGCTGTTGACCTCGTGGGCACTGAGGAGGTTGGAGCTGCGTCTGCCCTTAGTGGGAGACGCCGCAACAGCAGGGGCAAGGGGAGCAAGGGTGGTGGAGGGGGCGGCGGGGGGGGTGGTGGAGGAGGTGGTGGAGGCGGAGGGGGTGGCGGTGGAGGTGGGGGTGGTACCGGGAGTGGGGGCTTCAGTGGCGGCGGAGGAGGTGGTGGAGGCAGCGGCGGAGGTGGAGGAGGCAGCAGCAGCGGTGGTGGAGGTGGCGGCGGTGGTGGTGCTGGTCGAGGTGCAGCCACGCAGCGTGGAGGCTTTGGTGGTAGCCAGCGCCAGAAGCAGCCGCGCTCCCGTGAGACTCCATCGGTCCAGCAGCTTCGTGAGTGGTACGCTGGGCGTGGGAGGTCTGGGGGTGCTGGTCCCTGCGCTTACGTTCATCGCTCCGGAACTCGTAGTGGGGAGGTGTGTGGACTCCCACACACTACGCAGCGCTGCTTCGGTCGCTTGACTAACGCTTGGCGTGCCCAGTTTCCTGACGCCGTTGAGCTCCCTCGCTGGCATGATCTGCTTCTGCAGAATGTGCCTATCTTTGATCTTGACTTTGATGCTATCCTTGCTGCCATGTATGCTCTTGCTGATAGTACTGAGGGTGACTGTTACCTGAGTGTCCCGCCCAACCCGGGCATTGCGGCTGCTGCTCTAGGTGCTAGTGCGTCTTCTGTTTGTTCTGGTGCGTCTGCTCTCTCTGGTACAGCACCTACTGAGTCCTTGCACACTTTCACACTTGACTCTGGTGCTTCGCGCTCTTTCTTTAGAGACAGCACCACGCTCACGCCGCTCCGTCGGCCTGTTTCGGTCTCCCTTGCTGACCCCTCAGGGGGCCCAGTCCTTGCCCACTCCTCCACGGTTCTACCGTATCCTGCGGCCCCGTCGGGCCTGCTGACGGGACTCCACCTCCCCTCATTCTCTACGAACTTGGTGAGTGGAGCTGACCTCCAGGACGCGTGGGTTGACCAGTTCACCCCTGGAGGTCAGCGTGTGACCCACTGCACTTGCTCTCGGACGGGCCGCCACCTGGCCACGTTCACCCGTCGGCCAGGGTCGAGTCTGTACACACTGACTACTGCGCCTCCTCCGGTCCCTGCGTCTGGTCAGGTAGCTGCGTCCAGTCAGGTGTTTGCTGCTGCGTCCAGGTCTAGTCCTTCGTCTGCCCCCTGCTCGTGTCGTCCTCTGGCGCACGAGACTCTCCTCTGGCACCACCGCCTTGGTCACCCCTCCCTGCCTCGTCTTCGAGGTATGGCCTCCCGTGCTCTTGTCTCTGGGCTCCCCAGGTCCCTCCCTTCCCTGCTTGTGTCTTCCTCCGGGGCCTGCCCCCACCTGTGTTCCTTGTGTCGAGGGCCGGCAGCGCGCCGCTACTCACTCCTCCTCGTTCCCTCCGACAGAGGCCCCTCTGCAGACTCTTCACATGGACGTGTGGGGCCCAGCCCGCGTCCGTGGACAGTGTCACGAACGCTACTTCCTGCTGGTCGTTGACGACTACTCGCGTTACACCACAGTCTTCCCCTTGCGCAGCAAGGGTGAGTTCACTGAGGTGTTGATCGACTGGATCCGCGGTGCCCGTCGCCAGCTCAGTGAGAGTTTCGGCTCAGACCTTCCTGTTCTGCGTCTGCACTCAGACAGAGGCGGGGAGTTTTCCTCCGACCTCCTGAGAGCCTTCTGTCGTTCGGAGGGCATCCGCCAGACGTTCACACTTCCGGCCTCCCCGCAGCATAATGGGATTGCTGAGCGCCGCATTGGCATGGTCATGGACGTCGCTCGTCATCCATGATCCATGCGGCTGCTCCCCATTTTCTGTGGCCGTTCGCGGTTCAGTACGCTGCGCATCAGATCAACCTTCAGCCTCGTGTCTCCTTGCCGGAGACCACACCTACTCTGCGGTGGACGGGGAAGGTTGGCGATGCGTCCGCGTTCCGTGTCTGGGGATCTCGAGCTTTTGTCCGCGATACTACAGCGGACAAGCTGTCCTCCCATGCTGTTCCCTGTGTCTTCCTTGGCTTCCCTCCTGACGCCCCCGGGTGGCAGTTCTACCACCCCACCTCGCGTCGTGTTCTGTCCTCTCAGGACGTCACGTTTGACGAGTCGGTGTCGTACTACCGTCTCTTTCCCTACCGCACTGCCTCTCCCCCCCCCCCCCCGCCGCTCTTCCTGGTACCAAATACTCCCCCAGTAGTCCCCCTCCCCCCCCAGGGTCCTGCCCCCTCAGGTGTGTCCCAGGTAGACCCTGCCGAGCCGGTCGAGGTAGCTGTCGACTCCGGTGCTGAGTCTGGGGGTGCTGAGCCTGCGGGTGCGGGGACTGGGGGTGCTGAGTCTGGGGGTGCTGAGTCTGGACATGTGGAGCCTGAGGGTACTGTGTCTGGAGGTGCTAAGCCCGCGCGTGCTGCATCTGGAGGTGCTCTCGGCGTCCCGCCGCGGCGGGAGCCTCTCTCTCCACAGCAGCTTTGTGAGTGGTACTCTCGGCGCTGTCGGGGTACTGCTGGAGCTACTGGAGGTGCTGCTGGTGCTGGAGGTGCTGGAGATGCTGCTGGTGCTGCTGGTGCTGGAGCTGCTGGAAGTGCTGCTGGTGCTGGAGCTGCTGGAGGTGCTGGAGGTGCTACTGGCGCTGGAGCTACTGGAGGTACTGCTGGAGCTTCTGGAGGTGCTGCTGGTGCTGGGTCTGCTCGAGGTGCTGCTGGGACTTCTGGAGGTGCTGCTGGTGCTAGTGCTGCTGGTGCTGGAGCTGCTGGAGGTGCTGGAGGTGCTGCTGGTGCTGGAGCTGCTGGAGGTGCTGCTGGGACTGGAGACTCGGGGCTGAGGGTGCCGGTTCTGTCTCTACTGATTCTCGAGGCGCTGTGCGGCCGCGGCCGTACTACGTTCCGCTTCTTCAGCAGGTTCTTGGCTCCCCGCCTTCTCCTGGTCCTCCTCCTTCTTTCCTGAGTCCACCACCTGTCAAGTCCCAGTCGCAGTTGCAGCAGGCCTCTCCACTGCCTAGTCCTTCTCCTTACTCTGGACCGACTAGAGGTCTTACGGAGCGTCGTGAGCCTGAGTCTCGTCCTGTGTCGCCTGAGTCTCGTTCTGCATCGCCAGTCCGTCCTGTTCGCGCTGTTCGTGTTTCGCGTCCGCGTCCTCTTCCTGTCCCTGGCACTCACTCTATGACTCTGCGTCCTTCCACTGCTCCACAGCGTGTCCCTTTGCTGTTTCCTCCTGCGTCCTCTCTTCCTGCCGGTCCGGACCCTGCGTCTGACTCCCTACGTGCTGCTAGTCCAGCTGTCGCGCGTTTTCTGGACACTGCTGTCACTGACCCTTTGTTTGAGTCCACTGCTGCGTCTGCTCTTGTTTCTGAGCTTGTTGACTTCGCTGCAGCCTGTCGCCTAGACTACGCCACTAGTCTTGTTGCTGAGTCTGCGTCTGCGTCTGTCTGTCCTCCGTCCGTCGGGGGTGAGTGTGCTCTTAGCACGGACGTTCTTGAGGACAGACAGGAGGAGTTTGAGTGCTTTGCTGCTTCTGTACCTCATCTCGTGTCCATGCTGATTGCCCCTAAGGGAGACCCGGATGCACCAGACATCCCAACCCCGCGCTCTTACGCAGAGGCGATAGAGGGTCCCTAGTCCTCTCAGTGGCAGGCAGCCATGGACGCCGAGATGGCTTCCTGGAAGTCCACAGGCACCTACGTCGACGAGGTTCCCCCACCTGGGGCGAACATCGTCAGTGGCATGTGGATTTTCAGGGTGAAGCGGCCGCGGGGTTCTCCGCCTGCCTTCAAGGCGCGTTACGTTGCACGTGGCTTCAGTCAGCGACAGGGAGTTGACTTCTTCCAGACCTTCTCCCCTACCCCGAAGATGACCACTCTTCGGGTACTGCTGCACGTTGCTGCTCAGCGTGACTACGAGCTCCACTCGCTTGACTTCAGCACAGCCTTCCTACAGGGCAGCCTGCACGAGGAGATCTGGCTGCGCCGCCCACCTGGCTTCACTGGGTCGTTTCCTGCTGGTACCCAGTGGAGCCTCCGGCGGCCAGTCTACGGTCTCCGCCAGGCACCCCGTGAGTGGCACGATACACTCAGGACGACTCTTGCTTCTCTTGGTTTTGCTCCTTCCACTGCTGACCCTTCTCTGTTTCTACGCACTGACACTACTCTGCCGCCGTTCTACGTTCTCGTGTACGTAGACGACCTCGTCTTTGCTACTGCTAACACTGAGGCACTCGCCCACGTGAAGTCCGAGCTGCAGAAGAGACACACGTGCACAGACCTGGGTGAGCTCACAAGCTATCTTGGCTTGCGGATCACCCGGGACAGAGCACAGCGCACCATTACCTTGACTCAGTCACACATGGTGCAGCAGGTCCTTCAGCGCTTCGGCTTCACGTACTCCTCGCCACAGTCCACTCCTCTGCCTACCGGTCACTCGCTCTCAGCTCCACCTTCGGACGAGTCCGTAGAGCCAAGTGGCCCGTATCCAGAGCTTGTGGGCTGCCTCATGTACCTGATGACTTGCACACGACCTGACCTCGCATACCCTCTCAGCCTTCTGGCTCGCTACGTGGCTCCCGGCAGGCACCGAAAGGTGCACTGGGATGCTGCGAAGAGGGTGTTGCGATACTTGTGCAGTACATCGGGCATGGGGCTCGTGCTTGGAGGACGGGCTCGAGTTGTCCTCACTGGTCACGCTGACGCCTCCTGGGTTGAAGACTTGGCTACGCAGCGGTCGTCACAGGGTTACACCTTCAGTCTTGGCTCCGGTTCTGTCTCTTGGCGGTCTACCCGCTCTTCTTCTGTTCTCAGCTCGAGTTGTGAGGCTGAGATCTACGCTGGGGCTATGGCTGCACAGGAGCTACGCTGGCTCACCTACCTGCTGACCGACTTGGGAGAGGCGCCTCGTTCTCCTCCAGTTCTGTACATCGACAACAAGGCCATGCTGGCCTTGTGTCAGGAGCACAGACTGGAGCACAGAACAAAGCACATTGCTCTGCGCTACTTCCTTGCTAGAGAGTTGCAGCAGCGTGGCCAGCTTCGTCTTGCTTACGTGGCCTCTCAGGCCAACACTGCTGATGTTTTCACCAAGGCACTTCAGCCTTGTGATCATCAGCGTTTCTGTACTGTGTTAGGCCTTGTACCTATTGTGCCTCACTTGCTGACTTCTTGACTTTGCTTGTACTGTTATAGTCACAATAGGCTTGAATGTGCCTAAAACGAAAGATAGAGAGCACAGACGGATTTCTGCACAGCGGCTTCAAACGTTGATAGCGTTCTGCTCACAGCTGCAAATGACTTGATTCAAATTGGATCTGGAGCGTCTTCACGTCGTCTACAATTAGCAATTTAGATTGCACGATTTGATAAAGAATTGACGACACAGCGTTGGTTTGAACGAACGGTACTATGGCAGCCACTATAGTCTTAGAACACAGAGATAGGAAGAGTTGCGAGTTGGGAATGACTCCCAGCTCCTACAAACCCCAAGATCCGAGGTACAGTGATGTGGAACAGTGCCACACTGTCCCCAACCACGAAGGGTCTCGAAACTACCCTTCACTAGGGCCTACACCAAGTGAAATGTTACACTACACAAAGTAATGTAACTATCTTCAATATCTTGAGGTGTACCCTTTTTGGCGAGCTTCGAAATCACTTGAGGCTTGACACCAAGGCTCGGGCTCTTCATCACAAACTCATCCTTGAGTTCTTGATGGGTCTGCTGCACACACCTGCGACACGCCGAACGTTCGACACAGGACAAAATAGAAACCGCGCACGACAAAATAGAAACCGCGCGCGAGACACAAACGACCGCGTAACACGCGTCTAGCGATAACTCGCTATTGACTCGACACACACACTCGACATCATGACTCAACATTCACACACAATTATAAGCATGAAATATATATTATCCCATGCCCTCATACCATTCCATACACACACACATTCACGCACACGGACAACAAGCCGAGTGCAAACCGTAGGGTTGCACCAACAAACTCCCCCTCGGATTGTTGGCCTTAGGATATGTTGCTCTCTCAGTTCAGAGCCATCCCAGCCAGCTTGCAACACTTCCAATGCTGCTGCTCCACCAGCCTCTTGGTCATCATGTCAGCCGGCTGCCCCGTGGTCTTCACGTAGCGCAACTCAACTTCACCCGCGGTTACCATGCTCCTCGTCCAATGCCACTTCACCCTCATGTGCTTCGTGAGTCCATGCAACACAGGGTTCTTAGCAAGAGCAATGGCACCCTGGCTGTCACAGTACAGTGGGGTAGGTCCTTGCTGCTCCTCCCCCAATTCAGCCAACAAACGCCGCTGCCACACAATCTCCCGTACGGCACGGAAGAGTGCCATGTACTCGGACTCCACCGAGCTCAAAGCTTGGTCAACCTGCTTCTTGCTCTCCCAAGCAGTTGGGCCTCCACCAACACAGCAAATGAACCCTCCAACACTTGTCATGTCCTCTGATTCTGATGCAAAAGAAGCATCCGAGAATGCGGTGAGGAACAAACGCCCGGGTTCAACACCATCCGCGCCCTTTTGGCGCCTTTGCGCCGCCGCCGAGTATTGCAGCCCAACGGTCGGTGTTTGGCCAAGATAATTGGCCACCCTCATTCCAGCTGCTACCTGCTCCTCATTAGGGCATTGCACAACCCTAGCCAGCTGCCCGGTAGCAAACGCGACGTTCGGTCGGGTGTTTACCGCCGCATACATGAGGCTGCCCACCAACGAGTGAAATCGGCGCCTCTCCTCTTCACCAACGCTCTCCTCCTCTGGTCCCTTCACACACTTGAACCCAGAGGGAAAGGGTGTAGCCACATGGCCTTCACTCTGCCCAAAGTTGGCAGCCAATGCCTCCAGGTACTTTCGTTGATGCACCCGCATGCACCGCTTCTCCACATCTCGTTCGATGTGGAGCCCAAGGTAGAAGCTCACGTCACCAAGGGCCTTGCACTTGAACTTGTCTTGAAGCTTCAGCATCACCTCCTTCACAAGGTCAGAAGAGGGTGAGAAAATGAGGATGTCATCCACATAAACCACCATGAAACTCCTCTGCTCCCCCTCGCCAAGCATGAACAAGGAGTGATCGGCCGTTGAGGGAGTGAAGCCGATCCCCTCCAACACTTCGCGCAGCTTCATGTACCATTGCCTAGGGGCCTGCTTCAGCCCATAGAGGGCCTTCTTCAGCTTCCACACTCTGCCACTACCATCATCAAACCCCTCTGGCTGCGCCATAAAAATCTCCTCCTCAAGGATGCCGTTAAGGAATGCCGTTACGATGTCCATTTGCTTTACTACCCATCCTTTGATGGCGGCTCCCGCGAATAGGGTTCGCAGCGTCGTCGGCTTCACCACAGGGGCAAACAGCTCCTTGAAGTCCACCTTCTCCTTCTGCTGGTACCCCTTGGCTACAAGCCTAGACTTGTAGCGCTCGATCTTGCCGTCGGCATCCGACTTGATTTTGAAGAGCCACTTGGACGTTATCGCCGTACGCCCCTCCGGTAGCTCCACCAATTCAAACGTGTCATTCTCCTCGATGCTCTTCAGCTCACTCTCCATGGCCTTCTTCCACTCCTCAGCATCACTACTCTCCAAAGCCTCCCTGAGAGTTGCTGGTTCTCCCGGCATCTCCACCGGAGAGAAGAACGCGAAGGCACACTCCTCGTAGTCACTCTCCTCGTCGTCTCCGACCATCATTGCCGCTCCGGCCAGGGCTGTCTTGCTCTGCTTTCCCGGCGCATCATAGGTCAGCCTATTAGGGGGTTGAACTCTCCTCTTCCCCCTTCCTTCCTCCTCAGCTGCAGGGACTTGAAGGCCTTGGCGTTGCTGCGGTGTGGCTCGAATCCGTGGAGCACTCGTAGTACGGGAAGGGAGTGACGGTGCACGCTCGCTCACTTGCTGCACCTCCTCCTCTTCTTCCTCTGCATCATTGGCCTCCTCTCCCCCATTCACAAGGGAGGATTGCCTTGTGGTTGTGCTGCCGCTGCTCAGCTCCAAAGGCAGCTCCACATGCTCCAAACCGGAACTCTTCACCTCCCCAAACCGCACGTCTATCTTCGCCTCATTCTCCGCCTTCCAATCCTTGTACATGAAGTTCTCCATGAACTTGCAGTCCCTGCTCACCAAGAACTTCTTGGTGAATGGGTCCCAAAGAAGCCATCCCTTGCTGTTTTGAGCCATGCCCAAGTGCACGGCCCACACCGCCTTGGCACCAAGCTTGTTGTGCCGAAGATGCTTAGGCACGAGCGCCATGCACATGCACCCGAACACCCGAAGCATATCCACCTTTGGCTTCCTTCCTAGCCACTCCACATAGGGCACCCATTTGTCTGCTCCCACATGAGTCAAGGCTCTGTTCTTGGCCACACACGCGCTCCGCACCGCATCAGGCCAGAAATAGTCGGGTAGCCCGGCTTCAATGAGCAACCCGCGTGCCGCCTCCGTGATTGTGCGGTTCGCTCGCTCGGCGATGCCGTTCATTGCAGGGGAGTATGGCATGGTGAGGGAGTGCCGAATACCATTCTTCTTCAGCCACAACCCAAACTCCTTGCTCAGGAACTCTCCCCCTCGATCGTTGCGGATTGACTTGACTAGACGGTCTTGTTGCCGCTCCACCATCGGGAAC